TGGGCGCTGCTCCCTGGGACTCGCTGTCACCCTCGTCCCTGCATTTCTTCACACCTGTTTCCCGAGGTCGTGGAGGGGAGTGGTTGTGATGCTGGAGGGTGGGAGGGAGAGACGGACCCTGGGCCTGTTGCATCGTAAGAAGAGAGGGGACACAGCCTATCCATGCGTGCCAGAAACTGGCAGGAGTTGCTGCTGGTTCGACCCTGCTTCCGGTTTCCTGGCAGAGGAGGTTTGCGGGGGGCGGGGGCAAATGAAACCTCTACAGCCCTTCCAGGTCTCGCTGTAGGGAGAGGCGACGCTGAGCCCCTCAGCTCTGCACCATGAGCTGGTTCTGCTGCTGGGGATGCCGGAGCTGAAGGCTCCAACCCCCAGGGAAGGAAGATGCTCCAAACGAGCAACTACAGCCTGGTGCTGTTCCTGCAGTTCGTCCTGCTTTTTTACGACCTCTTTGTCAACTCCTTCTCGGAGCTGCTCCGCACGGCCCCTGCCGTCCAGCTCGTCCTCTTCATGTGAGTGCTGGGCGGGTGTAGCAGGGAGCACGGTGGGGCAGGAGGGCTGAGGTCTCACCCACGTGTCTCTCTCCTCCCGCAGCATCCAGGACATCGCTATTCTCTTCAACGTCATCATCATCTTCCTCATGTTCTTCAACACCTTCGTTTTCCAAGCCGGGCTGGTCAACCTCCTCTTCCACAAGTTCAAGGGGACCATCCTGCTGTCAGCCACCTACTTGGCACTCAGCATCTCCTTGCACGTCTGGGTTATGGTAGGTTGGGGGCTACTGGTTTCTCCTGAGGTGGGGGCAGCACTCTGCTTGCTTTGCTGCCCACATCCCCCTGCACTGTTCAGCCCCTCTCTCGTGAGAGGATGACCGTGATCTGCCACCGCAGGGACAGTTTGGTGTCCCACTGCAACTGGCACCGAGCTGTAACAGAGCTGCCCCATCCTGGCCCCTTCCCTAAAGGCCGTGACCTGCTAGAAAATCCTCTTTCCTGGTAAACCTGGCGGCTCCAGCTCCGTGCTGGCACAGGAGCCCACGCTGGAGTAATCCCTGCTGAAGGCCGTGACAGCAGCTCCTGGTTTACCTGGGATTAATCTCCAG